TATCAATCCAGCATTTTTTACGAGATACCTGCTTTGTACACTACACCTTAAGCACCATACCCTGTCGAAGCTTGGTACCTCAATCTTGATCATCGCCAATATGAGGTCCATTACAGCCGCCAAGACCATTGTCGGAAAGTCCATTGGGCCAACCGGCTACGGACTGATGGGTGAGTTCGCTAAACTCAAAAACAGACATCACAAGACTGTATTCTTTTGCTGACAATGATTCACAGGATTGACCCGTCCTTGGGACCAGATTGAGTTCTCTGCTTCAACCAAACTGATGAAGACTGCGCTCGAACAGGGTGCCAACGTTTGGAACGGGGTATGGGTACCATCAACAAAAGCCATCTTTGATATGTGATGTACTAACACAGAAGCAGGGAATCCACTACGGAACTCCTGACAGAAATTCCTTGCACCTACTCAAACACTACTTCGAGCAAAACCCGCAGGATGCGGACAAGGTCGTCCTCAGCATCAAGGGCGCCTACGATGGCAAGACCCACATCCCGGACTGCAGTCCGGAGGGCATCCGGGCCTCCGTCGAAGAGGCCGTTCGAGTCCTTGGTGGCTGCAAAAAGATTGACGTCTTCGAGTGCGCTCGAGTCGACCCCAATGTCCCCATCGAAACCTCCGTCCAGGCTCTCGCAGAACTCATTAAGGAAGGCAAGATCGGGGGCATCGGCCTTAGCGAGGTCAGCGCCGAGACCATACGCCGCGCGCACGCCGTGCACCCCGTCGCGGCAGTCGAGATCGAGCTAAGCATTTTCACGCCCGATGCCGTAACCAACGGTGTCGCCGAGGCATGCCACGAGCGTAAGTCTCTTGCCATACCGGGCCGCATCCTCATAATATAGCAATGACTAACTCGAAGAATAACTATAGTCGGCATCGCTCTCGTCGCCTACAGCCCCGTTAGCCGTGGCCTCCTCACCGGCGAGTTTCGCAGGCCTGAAGATCTCCCCGCCAACGACATGCGCCGCATGTTGCCGCGCTTCAAGTCGGACGCCTTCATCCAGAACTTCAAACTTGTCGAGGCGGTCGAGAAGATTGCCGAGCGCAAGGGTGCGACGGTTGCGCAGGTGGCCATCACTTGGGTGCGGCGGCAGGGAGCCATCCCGATTCCCGGGTCGACAAAAGCGGAGCGAGTGGTGCAGAACTGCGTAGACGTGGAGCTGAGCGACGACGATTTGAAAGAGATTTGGGCGCTGATTGAGAGCTTGCCTATCGCGGGACAGCGCTATGGCGGCAAGTTTGAGAAGTATCTCAACCAGTGAGGATTGGCCGTTTTCCCATGCTTTTCGCTTGATTTGCAATATATCTGGAAGTCTCTGAAGTAGCGGAGATGCTACTATAATATACTTATGTTGCCCCAGACGACCATGTTCGCTTGTTGTAATTACATACTTGAGCAAATGCCTGGAGTAGCTACTTCTCACACGTTGTTGAGCGTCCACGACAGTGTCAAAGCGCCGGTGGTATACCAGCAGGGCTGTCCTTGCGCCAGTCGCCGAGACGACGACGATAGTGCTGGGAGAAATGCGCAAGGGCTAAGTGTCTACGTGTTAGGCACGTTGATCCATTGCCTGCCTTATTATGTTCTGACTCAGCGATAGTGCGGCATATGTTGCCTACGGTTCATCCTCGACTTCGATTCCTCTTAGCAGATTGAAACAATGTGCAAGACCTGTGTGACGCTCTCCACACCCGACAGGATCAGGGATATTAGATATACTGGATTACCTACCTTTTGTAACGACCCACTGGCTATGGCCACGTGACTGCTCCTCAGCCGGCCCTACTCTCTCGCTGGCAGGTGGTGAAAGCTTCAATGCCCGTCCAGAGCCTCTAAACTTCGGAAGATCCAGTCTGTCTCACCACTAATCGATTACACGCTTTTGCCAAGTATTCGAGTTGATCATTGAGATTTCACTCTGATAATCTCTCTCTCTACCCCTGCTCCAAAATTGCGGTACTACTCTGCTACCCCTCTCGGTGTCTCTTGCTCATCTCCATCGGCACATACGCCATGATGCTTTCTTCAGGCTTACTTTCAACCTATAAGCAATACAAGCGCGATACTGATGCCGTTGCCTCGTGGCTGGCTGCCACCGCGATAAGCTCCGGCTACTCCAAGCCCCTGAGTGAGCCACCCGCCAAGGCTACATCTTCAGTGCCCACGTCTGAGAGGTTGAAGGGCAAGGCGCGGAAGAAGGCTAAGAAACAGGCTATCATCAACCCATTGCAGGCGCCTGAGGAGGAAGCGCCTGAGGACACGATGCCGAAACACATCATCGCTATAAAGGACTTCCTGCCACTGGCCCAATTCGTCACGGGAAAGCTGTCCGACTCCTTGAAGGTCCCGGAATCGTTCATATCATCCCTCAATCGTGTCATTGAAACTCGCAAGCGGTTTTCTTCCATGCTGGGAGGTATTCGACGATTCAAAGACTACCGTGGGGACAATAAACATGCTTTCTTTGTCACCGTTCTTGAGCGCGTTCGCGATGCCTTCAAATCCCAGGTGGGCGCCTTCGACGTATCTGCTCTACAAGACGCGACCCGCGGCATTGAAAAGGCTCTCAAGAATGGTTCCAAGCATGTTGACGGACCCAAAAATATGTTCGCCATCCTAGACGTGTACGAGCCATCTGAGGACTTCCTAGCTGCCCCAAATATCGAGCGTCAGGCTAAGGTTCCTAAAGTCTTCATAGCTGAGGAAGACGACTCCGATACTGCAGCCCTGTTCATTTACACTGCGTACCTCAAGGATCTCGGCCAACTCCGCGAAGAGGTTCTCCAGCTCTGGGCCGAGTATAAATCAGGAGATAGAGACCTCGCCGCCGTTTCAATTGCCACCAATACCGCTCTGCAGCTTGCGCGCAATATGGAGCAAGAAATTGCGACGTCGATGGAGAAGCTTGGAGGTGCTATGGAAGCCATCCAAATGTTCTATGAGGCTGCTTGCGCAGCTCAAGGCCAGGACCCTCTTGATAAGCAGTGGGGTGATGATTTGAACTTCAACTGCTACCAGGACGCCTCCGACCTATACTTCACTACTCTCAGTCTTCTTCACGCCTTCAGCAGCAGCGAATCGTCCTCAAACATTCCGAATTACAACGGGAAGTTTGGTTGGTACAATGACAAGAAAAGAGGAACCACCGCTCGCGAGCGATGGGCAGAGGATAAGGCAGCACTCCTTGAAGTCTTCGCGGATCAAACCATGCTCTTTCAGCTGTTTCGGGGATCCCCAGTTCAGGATGAGTTCACCAAAGGATTGAAATACGTGATGGACACGGGTAAATTGGAAGTATGGCTATGCTTCTCCGCCCAAGTGTACCTCGATATTCTCAAGTCCCTCGGACCCTCAGTTCGAAACGGAGAGAGAGATTTCCAGCGGTCCCTGAAGCCAATCGCAGACAGTGTCGAAGAGGCTCTGCGTATTCGTAGCAATCGAGAGGGTGCGGTCAGGGAGAGCATGCAGGATCTTCACAAGCTGGCAATCTTATGGGGGCCCGGAAAAGACCCATTCAACGCCATTCGCATTGCATCGAGGCTTCAGACAAGGACTTCAAACTTCCTAGAACATCACCCGATGTACTGCGGTCTCTTCTTGCATTACGTCCGAACTCTCTTTCACCGCGTGGGGGCCGAGTATGCTGCGAAGCCCGGTAACGTGATGCACGGCATCCAGCTCTACCAGGCTCTCCAACAGGAAGGCTTGTTGCAAGACGGGGACAAATGGGACGCTCTGGATTCAATGATGGAGCAACAGGGCCGGACCGCCTTCTTCGTCGGCGATCCCCCAGTGAACCCAGAAGCGTATTTCAAGAACTTCGGGCTCTCAAAAGGAGTTTCGGCTGCGCAATGGATCCAGAAGCGCAACAAACCCAACAACAATCGCGTTATGACATCAAAAGCTGGCATTCGGATCATGAAGTTCAAGGGAGTCTGTTCTTGTTTGTTTGCCCCTAGGGTCTTGGACAACTCGGATCCCAGAGGCCTTAACGCGGACGTCATTGATCAAATCCTTGAGCGAAGTGGCTGGCTTAGCAAAGCAAGCAACGACGGCACCCCCTCCGACCCCGAAAAGCCCAAGGTAAGATGCTATGAAGCTCTCTACCATTGCCACCAAGTGTTCTTTATAGTCCATATGTCTGACAATCTCCAACAGAAGCACCGTGCCCTCCTCCTGTCTGAGCTAGTTCGTCAAGTCGCCCTCGCAGTTCATGACGAGGTTCCCGAGCTCACTCTCGACTACTTTCACACCGACCACCTTTGCAAGGCTGTTTTGAAACGCGTGCGAGAAAACGTAGATGTTAAGAATGGCGGCTCGATCGAGTCCAATCAGCTCCGTTCGCTTCAAGCAGACAACCCAGGAGATACTGTAGGTATCGTTTTCGCTGCGGTTGTTGGCCACGTACCCGTTCTTTCTCCAAACCAGAAGGCGCCTCTCCGAGAGGCAGCTGAAGCTTTCAAGAGCAAGCCTACCTTGGAAGATTAGTCGACCTTATCTTATGTTGCCCATACATACTCTAGAGAACGAACCGTAGGCGTCAGGCTGTTATATCCAATGTATTGATCAGCGTCATTTTGGAGTATTCACCCATGCTTGTGCCCTGCCATTAAGAGTTATCTTATCTGCGAGCATGGTGTCAAGCATGTGATGGGATGCTCTTTCGATAGACTGCTGATCAGTGCATGTAGTAATGCCAGATTGGGTTGGGACAAAGTGAACTGGACAAGGTAAATTTGCAGCAATGGCGGTGTCATCGAGCAGTAATTTGCAACATATTCAATTGATTCGGTCGATACTTCATTTTCCAACCATCATGTACCCTGGCATTATTCACATGAGGGGCGTCCCAGATAATTGAAGATGGCATGACTAGTAAAGATAGACAGCTACGTAAATGGTCCTTTACGAGTATCTTAGTACATCCCACTCTTTATAGAATCACTTGGCCCCCATTAACACTTTACAGACGTGGTGTCTATGGGTTTTTATGGCATCCAGGAGCAGCCGAAATCTGGTCATGGAGCGTCGATTGATTGTCACGTTGGTTGGATCTCGGAACGTCGTTGGAGGGGTTGAGGTCGAAGAAACTCGTTGGCTTCAAGGCACATGACAACTTTTCCGCGGGCATAACAGGGAAGTCTAAGACTCCAAACACGGTAAGTATCTTCTTCATTAGAAACACAGGAAGAATCACCTCGTACCTTCGGGGCGTGTGACGTGTGTCAGACCAAACGAGTGCCACAGAACGACATCTTCAGCCTCAACATTGTCCGCTCGTGCAGCATACTCTACAAGGCCAGTATCCTCTCGGCTTTGATTCGTAAACTCTCCAGCAGCCCAAAGTTCGTCATCGCGGTACCGAGTAACCCAAATTGGCTTGGACGCAAAGACTCCGCGTCGATGATTGAAAGTCTCGGGCCCCATCATCAGCATCTGGCTAGGCGAAGCATGAAGCTTGTACCCAGCCATCTTTCCCGATACCTCATGCCTGCGAGCCGGATTGACAATTTTGTACGTGCGAGCTTTTGTTAAATCGAGATCGTAACCACCTGGTGAAACAATAGGTGTGGTATTAAGTCGGAACGCACATCCGTAGGGGTCGAGCTCCGGATCGTCTCGTACAGGAATACAGTCCTCGTATACAATTGTGTTCTTTCTTGCCCCATCAAGGATCGGATCTATTCGGACACAAAAAAGATGTTGATGGTTAACGGCCAAGACTCCGGGTGCCACAACAGTTCCCCAAGGCGACGACTTGAGTTCGGGGCGGATTGGCATAGTGGAGACAATGCCAGTTGCTCGCACCTCGATGTGAATATTCGCGGCTTGATCCAGGGCATACGCCAAGATGTATTCGTAATTGGCTACAGTGGAAGTGCACTGGACAACGAGCTTCCGGTCTCGGACTGTGGAAGATTTCATGTTGCGAAAGTTCGTGTGTTTCCAGCCAATTCCATCATCGATCTCGTGCATGCAGACAACGTTCGGCATAACAACAGGTTCTCCTGTTGCTGAAACACGAACGCCATCAAAGTAGGCAATGTGGCCTAAACAGTCACAGCCAAGAGACAAGCTATTGGAAGTGAGACCGAAGCCGGAGTCGCCGAGGTCGAACGCTTGCTTCCGGTGGTAAGGTGTTCGAGGATCGCCGTAAGGTACCGTCATCTCGCTCATCGATACCCGGTAAAATAGAGGCCGGCCTTCGTAACGTACGTCGTGCAGAACTGGACCTTCACGTAGAGACCATCCCAGTTGAAATTGCCATCTCTGCCATGATACCTTACGATTTTCGATGTCGAATGAAGGCCCTTCAGGTTGGGCGACTTGTAGTGGTTTTAGGTCCTTTCTAAAAGCATCGGGTCCGAGAATGTTTGCGCTGTACTCAACTGGCTTGACAGGTACCCAGGGTTGTGTTTCATCGTCAATTTCGTCATCGATCCCCAAAGGAAGCTTTTGCAATTCAACCAGCTCAAGAGTCTGAGCATCGAAGATAGGTGCAAGAGGGAGGGGGATTGAGTAGTGGTTGGCCTCATCGTCGTCATCGAGGGCAAGATACATGTAGCATTGGAAGAGACGGCGTCTCTCCTCGACATCGTCAGTTCCGTAAGCCCAAGGGTCATTGAGAACTCGTGCTCTATGTCATATCATGTTAACTAACTCTGGCATATCAAAATCAAGAGAATTAGAGCTTCACCCTTCGGGGAGTCTCAGCTTAGCGACCTCAGCCACGACATCTGGATGGGCATTGCAAGCTGTGGTAATGAGGTCGTATTCAACCCAGTCCACTGGTCCCTGGGCATCAGGAAGGTCGTCAGTCTTCTCGAGAGTTCCGCGGGTTATGTTGATGATTGCTCTGCTCATAAACTCCCTTTGCTTCCGTTGATAGTAGATCCTAGCCCTACGATCGGGCATAGGGCCACGTTCCAGGAGGTGAACCAAGGTCTCATCTTTCGAAGGCTCGGCGAGATCGATTACTTTGAACCTGATCTCATCTTCCTGCAGGCTCAGTCCTTTGAACAGGGCGCGGGACGCTTGACGCACTTCGTTAATCGAAAGGGGGTCAAGGGGGTGCTTGGCCATGGTGACAAGTTAATAAGCCTGATTACAGGTCAGGAAGTGCAGTGCTTGAGGGTCAAGATGCGGTTGCGTTCGATTGGCAGCACCAGTTTAAAATACTACATGTTCTCATACGAACACTTACAATTTTTACTCCCTTGATACACTGCTTTGAACTTGTATTCATTACGAAAGATAATGGACTACCCAAAGTCGTTCGATTCGTGTTGCGGACTTACATGTTTCCCAAAAGGGACATTCTCCCAGCAGCGACCCACCACTCCCCAAAACGGAAAGAGGGGCAACTTGTTGTCTTCACGCGGGGTGAGAACAATCCCATTTTAATTAGCAAACAGAAATAAGTGCATTCTCAGACTCTTTTGTTTTGGGACAATGGCAGCTGAACACGCTCATCAGCTAGCAAACCAAGCGTATCTCCTGGCTTGAACAGGAAAGACATCCAGCCGGCCTCTTCATAATGGACCCCACGTCAGCACTGCGAAGGAATCAGCGCAACGCGGGGTAGCCCAATATGGCCACTATTACCGATCTTACATCTTGCGGCAACCGCGAGTGATCTAACAATACCAGATCTTTGGGAGAGATATATGTCGTATGCTCCCGAACTTTGCTTCGCTAGATATGTTCAGAAGCCTTGTATCCAAATGCCAATTCATGACAGCTTCAACAACTTCATCCTACCATGTCTGACTTCAGAGGTGTCGATCTTACCGGTAAGACAGCGATTGTCACCGGCGCTTCACGGTGAGGAATCGGCCGCCTTTGTCGGTCTTTTTAGACTCCCGCTAATATTTTTTGATTTCACAGTGGAATTGGCGCCGCGATTGCAAAACAACTTGGGAGGCGAGGAGCCAATGTTGTCGCCAACTTCGTGACAGACAGCAGTCGCCAGCGAGCCGAAGACATCGTCAAGGACATCCAACAACACGGGTCGAATGCCATTGCGATCCAGGCAGATGTCGGGAAATTATCTGAGATCTCCAGACTCGTTGACGCTACGCTGAAGTTTAGTGGAACTGGCAAAATCGAAATTTTGGTTCATAAGTCAGTTTCCGCTCTCGATTTCTATGGCTTGGTTTTGTCCATTATGTGTGTGGCTCTGATAATTTGCTCTACTTCTCAGCGCGGCTTTGGGTGTCGACGCAAACCTCGACGAAGTCACCGAAGACTTGTATCTCACCCATTTCGACACCAATGTGAAGGGACCAATTTTTCTGACCAAAGCTGTCGTGCCGCACATTGCTCGAGGCGGTCGAATAGTTTTTGTTTCTTCCGCAGCGGCTCGTCTTGGGGTCGCTGGACAAACCGTATATGCTGCCACAAAAGCGGCCAACGAGGCACTTGCGCGTGTGTGGGCCAAAGAACTTGGGCAAGAGCATGGCATTACTGTCAATTGCGTCAATCCTGGCCCGGTGGCTACTGGTAGGCATCTCACATCCAAGACGCCACTCGCAGCAAGACTGACATGTCCTGCGATGTAGATCAGTGGAACGAAAGCGATGACCAGTTTAGAAAAGACATGGAGCCCTTGATCGAGTCTACACCGGCTGCAGCGAGAATCGGAGAAGTGGATGATGTCGCACCTCTCGTGGCATTCCTTTGCAGCAGTGACGCTCGGTGGACTACTGGATCAGTCCTCTGTGCAAATGGGGGTTTGTATAACTAGACGAGAAGTACGCCGTTAACATCATATGCGCCGATCAACGATGAGTTGTATAGCATTGCAATTTTGAAAGAAGTCCGATACTAAACAACGCATCATGCCAACTACTGAATCGTGGCTTGGCCTTTCCAGACACACTGATGTGCCTGTAACTCAGTCCAGCCCCTGCGTCGCTTCCATCTGGCCCATGCCAAACCATGTCTGAGTGGGTATTATAACTCTCACAGTTGAGAGGGCTGGATGACAACGATCAAATGGCGCTTCCTTCCATATAAAGCCTCTCTTTGGTATCTGCTCACTATCAAACTTGGCGGTTGTTGCCCAGATTTAGTAACGTGGGTGTAGTATGACTCATTTGCAAATTCCTTCCGAATCCCGCGCTAAGCTGTTTGAACAAGTTGTATCAAGGTTCCCATGACATATCATGGGTAAGCTTCAAGGTGCCGGGACTCAGGCATCTCCATTAACGATGTCATTCTTTAAGACACGTTTCCAGGGTGAACTTTTGAAACTGCCGTTCGGTGGCTAGGGAATCTTTTCTTCATCGCATCTTCCGGCGGTCCTGTTTGTGATATTGAGAGTTGGTGAGCCATTTTGGCACACCTCCGTATACTTAGTCAAAAGAACAGGTAAGCGTGTTGCTGCTGCATACTCTCAGAGCAGGTCTGCATTCGAATGAGTATAGATGTTGGACCAAGGGACAATTCGGGTCTTTACTCACAAATTCCATCCAGGGAACATTCGTCCAGCCCCGGGTTTTCAGTCTTCTTTCCTCCCAAACCCCTTCAAGGACTTCCATCATGGCTGCATGTTGAAATCCCGTAGAGCGTCGAATATTTTCGATACAAAGACTGGCGTAGTGTATCTGGTGTCTTTCAGATGTCTCGGTTGCCGCCAGAAATAGAGGGAACAACAGCCGCTTGAAGAATGGCGAGTCCATTGAAACGTTTGCACAGCAATCCAGGATTGCTGATACCGATGGCCTGATCCTAGGGTCTTCGCAGGGAATGACGAACGTATCAGGCCATCGTAAGATTCTCAGCAGACTAGCATGTCTAAAAGCCTCCGCGAGCTGTCTCCACTCCGGATGTGGTGTGGGATATTCGATCATATCGAGATCGAGGTCGCGAAGAAAGCTTTCTGCCTCATCTAATCTGGTCTGAAAGTCGACGGCAGATAACAATCCCTGCATATTCTGCTTGGCTGCTGCTATTACGTCCCCGATTCTGAGGAATATGACTGCGGGACAACCAACCAAAGTGTGCAGGGCTGCGTGTGGAGTAGTAATGTTTGCAACACATTTCCGGACATTCTCGGAGTAGGTGAGCTTCTCAGCACCACTGAATCCTCTTAAGACATCCAACCTGATCAACATGTTTGTCATTAGAAAGTTTCGAGATCGGAGACGAGTACTATACTTGCCATGATAAAGCAGACAAAAAGAAGATGGTTGCTGCAGACCGCTCTGCCCTTCCTATAGGAGATGCAATTCTTCCACAGAGGAATGACACGCCATTCAAATGAACAGCATGGGCAGATATTCCCAGCTCGCATATCTAGATATCATGCATGTGGTTGCTTAGCCAACAAGACTCGCGCTGCGGAGAAACTTGAAATGGGTCTTGGAGCTTACATCATGAAGTACCAAAAGGAAGATTATTGCTAGTGCGGCCTCTTCTTCAGCTTCTGTAAGTCCGTAGATTTCTTCCTTGATTAAAAGGGAGCTTAGACCGTTCAATGCAGCAACACGGTGTTGTAAGGCAGTGGCCATGTCAACCTGGTTAGCACCTGATGGTGACAGGTGCAGATGGCACGCGGTAAGTCCCAGGACTGCATGGAGAACACCTGTGTGATTGTAGGCCAGTGGGAGGACATGTACGCGGAACGGGTTGTCCACGCCTTCAACGACAATTGTTAGATGATGGCTCAGCTCTCTGTCGACTACAAACAGTTGTCAGAAACAATGATGTCACACTGGCTGAGAGAAAATGGAATATGGAAGGTTCCGGGCGGCCAAGGAGCAACTTACAGTAAACAAGCAATTTCTGGCTGTTACTCGTGAGCAGTAGATCGTCGACAGGGTGCCCGGTGATTGTCGCCGGTGACGGTGCGCCAAGAGATCGATCTTGGGGCGAGGCTGGAGAAGCACCTTGTGACAAAGTCTGGAGGAGGCGGCGGCTTTGGCTTGGGTGATCTGAAGAAAGTGAACTTGGAGTCGATGTTGGTGAGCTCAGGTTTTGGGCCGGAGTAAGCTCGTTGGTGGGTAGGACATCAGGCTGAACGCGCTCTTTCTCCGCTTCTGGGTCCCGCTCATCGCCAGCGGTCATCAAACTGTGCGTCTGTAATGATTCACAGAATTGGAATCGAGGAGGGTAGCCCTCACAGTGTAAGCCCTTTGACTTGCATCGATTGCAGACAGGGCGCGCGCGGTCACACTTGCGGCACTTCTTTCTACAGGTTCCGCATGCTGGATCTGTTGATGGTCAGCGACGAAATCTGAGCGGGAGCTGAGGCATAATCGGGTAGCAAATCGCACGCTCAGAAATCATGAGCGACAGAATGTCTCGCTGCTGAAACTTGTTCCCAATCTGGCTCAACAAGACCCGGGCAGGGACTGAGTGCCCTCTAGTGCAGTTTTCGGTACAAGATTCAGAGCAAGAGAGGGGAGAACCGAGCTGACCTTTTCTGACGGCTTTCGAGCCCCTGGCCATTGCGATGTTGGCACGCATTTCGCATCCGAATCTCGTAGACCCTGTGGTGAGGTAGGTATGATCACCAAATTTGTACGCAACTATCCGACCAAATGTTGGGAGCAAGTGGAAGAAAGGCCGGCGGACCAGAGAGTCTCGCCCGGTGTTGGGTTCATGTTGGTTGTTCAGGATTGGACGCTTGGGCAATCCATGTATTCCGTACAGCCGTAAACCTACCTTGCCGTAGAGAGGAGCGGTACGTAGGTAGTGCAGGTGTGCAGCCTGCAGGTAAGCAGCATCCGCTAAGGTGGTAGTGGAGTCATGACAAAGGAATCTGAATTCCGCGCCGGGGACAGTCACCCTTAAGACAACGTGTTGTCCCCGGTCTGGCGCCTCATGCTAGCACTCACATGATGTGAAGCATTACAAGGTCGGTCGAACAATGGTCATCACTAGCTTCCTCTCATTTACTTTTGGTTTCGGGTAACGTTAGGAAGACTCGCTCCAGGCTTTGCCACTCCATATGATCCCGAATTACATGGAGTTACCGTGATGATCGTTGCCAGTGAGGCGTTAAGAATGATGCTTATGGCCGACACCTTTTAGGACATAGCTTTCAAGTCATTTCATAAAAGATTCCAATGGACTAGAATGCAAAATGATCGAAGTCTAGTGCTTTCATGCGTAAGGTTTGGCAACGGTGTAATTTTAGCTGTTCCCTTGAAAATCATGTAGGCTTTTGATAACCGATGAATCATAATCTCAAGCTATCTATCTAAAGCAAGGCACTTCCTGAAGCAGCAAAGGGCTATTCTCGACAGTCCCAAGCTGAGAAGCTGAAGCAAAGCTTCCAATCTCAAGTGACTGCGATTTAGTTGTTCATCAAAAGTCGGATGGACGCCCGTCGCCCTTCAACTCGGGACGGAGCACAAAGATTGGATCCATCTGATCAACGTACCCACAGGCCGGATCGCTCATTGAATATCCCATAAACTCCTGGATGGGTTGATCCAACTTTTTTGCAATATCTTGGGGCACAGACAAGAATTGATTCTCCTCCTGTCGAAGATAACCTCGAATAGAGAATGTGGCAAACATCAGTCGTCTCTCATTCTTTGTTGTGTTGTGGCCTCCGGCATGGTACGCGGATGCCAGCATGATGAAGGCATCGCCTGTCTCCATCTCGGCGTAAATGCACTCCTCTACTCGAGGAGGCATGTGTCTATCAGTGCCCCTTTAAGATCATGGCATCAGTTCATCTTTCTTCCTCGGTCGGAGGCCAGTTTGATCGAGAATGCGTCGACTATCAGCGCCCTAGCGCATGGATAAGGGATATGATTACTTACCACAAATGGCTCCGGGGAATGAATTGCGTTCCACCGTTCTCCTTGGTGACTTTACAGCCAGCCACGAAGAGCCCAACAGCTGTTTCCCTGCCCTTGTCTCGCTCATCATCCCATTCACTCACCTCTTGATGATAGTTGTGGCTGATGTAGTCGTCTCGGTGCAAGGGCTGAGCTTTGCCCCCGGGCCCAATGCTCATAGCAGTACAGGAGTGAACATATGGCTTTGATACAGATTCCTTCTTCTCGTTTCCCCACCAGAACCAACTTCGGGTGGTCAAGAAGTGCTCGCACACCTTTTGGTAGACTGGGTTCATGACTTGTGTTTTGGCATACGTAGGGCTGAGAGCCAACAAGGCTGGTGCCCGCTGAGTCTCCTCTGTGACGATCGTGTGTCAGCACAAATACATCAGTCCGTCTTGACGTAGACAATATGAATATTTACTTGGAAAGAAGGAGCCATTCCATTCCACATCATTTTCAAGGCGTTCGCGGCATTCTTCGTGAGCTTTGTCGACATCAGCGACAGGGACCAGATCTCTAACGAAGACGCCCCCGTCACGCTTGAGAAGGTAGATGATGTCGTCCAATGGTGTGTCGGCGGAGACCTTCTGGACCTCAGGACCATATTTAGCCCTCATGTCCGACACTGTGGATGGAGACATGATTCGATTTCAATGTCCGAAAACAATAGGTATGTCGATAACAAACAATGTACCGAGCTTAGTCGTCGGGTGCTCAGGGCTATGGGAACTTTGCAAAGACAAAATGGTTTATAAACCACGAGGATTTAGTGTACAAGAGCTCATGTAATTACTCCGTAACGTAGCTTGAGCATGATGGGGGATAGTATCCATAATCGCAAGTTGTGACAGGGCTATGCTTGCCACTCCGCACAGTAGTGTTAAGCTGGCTGCCGAAGTTTATCCTCTCATTGAGGGAGGTTGAAGATACTTCCTAAAAAGGAATAAGAACACACTCATGCGAGATGGGTGGGTGGGGTCAACAAGACCAGCCATGAGCATGCGCTTTTCGTTTTGAACCATGTAATATGCAGCTAACAACTCCGGTCTAGCTCCGCATGGTTCGATGAAGTAGAGAAACACAGAAACATCAACTTTCAATCTGCATCTATTGTCATCGAGACTGAGTCAATGTGGTGAGTCTGATTTTCACGTGACGACAAGAACCCAAAGTGGCATAGATCAATCATGTCTACCAGCCGGTTCAGAATGATCAAATCCACAGATAGGGCGCCTGGTGCATTGTTGCAGTATGTGCAAGCTTCATTAAGCTATCAGACACTGTTTGGATACTGAGGATCTGGAGATGGGCCTCGACACGGGGGCTAGACGAAAGTGTTGGGCGACCGGTTGCCTAAAAATACGCGAGCCCGTTCTCCCCGCCCGTTCCCTTGATACTGTACCGCCTCAGCCATAGAAGGAGCGACATCGTGGTTTATCATTGTAACCCAGATAAGGCATGCAGCTGAGCCAAGATTGGCGGAATTTCTTTAGTCCATTGCATCCCCAATGAAGGTGTTATATAATAGATCTCATATGAAGTATAAAAACTGAAAAGAGGCTCGCAAGCACCTGACCAGCAAGCAAAGGCAGCGTGTCGTGCCAAATCCTCCTGATATCCTCTACAGCTAATTCTATGAGGAACCATGAGAGAGAACCATTTGGAATCTTGCAACTCGTGAACAATGGCGAGATAGCTGTTTCTAATCGCGTAACATCTGTCAGTTCAGGGAAAGACCTGAATAAACCAGCAGCAGATACAAACCCTACCCTCCTTCCCTCTAGATCACATGACCAAGATAGCATCTCTGACGGTACAGTCGGCGGCCCGGTCGATCTAGACGATGCCATCTCGAGGGCAATAGCAGTACCGTAGCCATGCGGCGCTAGTTCAGCTACCTAGGTGTCAGCTCTAGGCCTATGGTTCTCCATCACCAACTCATGGACTAGATGCCTTGTACAGTGTCGAATATCACGGATGGAATTATGAGATAACTGCTTTAACAGAGCAAGTTCCAATAAAATCCGATTTACTGAGAGCCGTAACCTTGCTACTTCGGCCTCTTGGCTGCTTTCGTGGCTCACTTTATCACTACTTGGTCTAGGTGAAATTGCTTCAGTTTTTCTTGCAAGTTGACTACAATATTCCATGCTTCCAGTGCACCTCAGTTCATAATACTTTGGACTAATAATTGATCTTACGGTTACAGTCAAGCAGTGATCAATATCATTTTTACTACATCACGGCACCTGCCATTGGCCTATATGAGATGATTCACGGAATTTCAGTTTGGATGGATGCCGACTCTGGCTTGGTGAATCGCCACGTCCGTTGTTCTCTGGTCTTTCTATGCATGTGAGCCCGACGAAGCTGGTTAGATGCTAGCAGACGCTATGTCAGGACTGGGACTAAACATATCACCCTGATCCTCATCGCATACATTCTGCTTGTAACTTGTAAATTAGGTTTGTAGAAGCCTCTGGCCCTCTACTGGTGCATCTTGGGCCGAAGTTGACTTTCTTCAGTCTGCGTCCCATCTCAATGTTATGACCTCAGCAGTTTTGTTCCTGAGCATCAACGTATGTGATGCCACAGGGGTTCCTTCTGTTTCAGAGCCGGGGCAGATCACTTTTTTCCTCGCTATCTGAACCTGAGCCGGTCCGATTTCGTTTGTAACATGTTTTCTGTCCTGTGGAGGGTCGTTCTGAGGGCCCCTATCTGCATGCCAACAGCGTTGCCAGAAAAGCTGGGTCCATGAACTATACCCGAGTCTTGGCTTTTGAGTATTGTGCTCCCGTCGCGGTTCTTTGAAACAAAAGAACTTCCAAGGGCCCATCAATGACTGGGATATGGACAAGGTCCTCAACTCGGCTGGCACAGTGCAGAGTGTCAAAAATACTTGATAATAGTACCTCTGTCGCTAGTAATGAGAATGTTTTGGCTTCTTATTGTTGAGTAGCGTCAATGTCACGTATGACTCTTACAGTCTGGCTGGGATAATACCTCACGACGGACTTTTCTGCGCCGCAACCGGCCTGCGTTGACGGAGGGGCAGGCCGGCCGTTCCGAGACGAGGATATTGCTCTTGCGTCCAATATGTAGCAGGGCGGGAATCGGGCTGGCCTCCACATTCGAGGTGGCGGATGCCATAATTTCAACCGTCTTCGAAGGTCCAACGGCTCTTGAAACTGCTTCATCTCGGGCAAGGGAAGTGTGACAGAATAGCTGTTTTAATGTCAATAGGATTGGCTGGTATGCTTTAACAAGTGA